GGATATACGTAAACGACATACGTAAAATCCTTGTGCGTTGACCTACGACAACGACTTACGACTACGACTCAGTTGCGACCATCTTTGTGCGCGGACCCACAAGGATTTTACGTATGTCGGTTACGTATATCTTATTGCGCCAGTTGGGTGCATTCAGTACTACAACAGCTCATTAAGCGCTTAGTGAGCTCTTGCATTTAAAGTCAATAGATTAATAAAGTACCGCAAACTCGCATCCATGTTTAAGAAAAACGCGGCCATTTCAAATTCACGCATTTGTATACACGTACTTTATTTGTGAAAATGAAGCCGTCGAGTACGTAAATTAATATTGTTGAATTGTAATTAGTTTATTTATGACCAAAGAATATGTAGAAATGCTTAATTTGTCTGTTCTTTAGTTTAATATGGATTTATTTGTTGTAGAAGTTTTGTGCATAAAAGTGCACGAAGGATACGTGTAAGTACAGTTCGGAACTGTTTAGGAACACAAAAGTACACGTCACATTACTGCATGAGTTTGAGCATTTTTAAGATATTATTCGGTCGGGGTAAATGTAACTCGGCCGTAGTAGTTCGAATCGTGTACTATGTGCACTTCGATCATTTTTAAGCATCATTTCTGAAAGAGTTTGCGGTACTTTATCAATCTAGTGACTTTATCTTGCATCTGATTGGCATATTCCGTTAGATCTAAAAATATAGGCCGAACAGATACGAGAGCTCACTGAGCTCTTAGTGAGCGGTTATAGTATTGAATGCACCCATTATTAGACTCTATTCGTAGAGTCCTAGGACTCTAATTATACGCAGTAATGAATTAAAATGGCGCTCTGATCACGTCATTTAGAGCCACTTTCATCAAGCTCAGTTACCCAGTCTAGTAACTGTAATGAAATAGAAAGAGATAGAAATAGTTCTATCCCTTTCTATTTCATTACAGTTATTAGGTTGGTTCAGTTAACTGAGCTTGGTGGAAGTGGCCCTTAGATAGCCAATCAGACCATTCCCTTCAATGTCGCATTTCTGGTTTCTAGGACTCTAGTCTTAAGAAGTCACGAACCAATCAGAGGGCTGCATTAGCGTCTTAAGACATTACTTAAGACGGTCTTGAAATAAGAATCGATTATGAATATCGACCTCATATACTACGTTTATACGGCACGCTTTACGCCGAAGTTGTAACATCGATGTTATAAAACTAGCCAATCATAGCTGTTCCTCTGAAGAATGGAATGACTGTGATTGGTCAGTTTCATGACATCGATGTTATAACTTTGGCGTAAAGCGTGCCGTGTAAACGTAGTAATAGACTACGTTTACACGCACTGATAAAATCGTAAAATAAAAACGTTTAAAGTAAACGTTTAGTAAAAACTGTTTTAGTTAAAACCAGTGTTAGGCCGGTATTCATAGTCAGATCTTATATTCAAGACCGTCTTAAGTACAGTCTTAAGAAGTCACGAACCAATCAGAGGGCTGCATTAGCGTCTTAAGACATTACTTAAGACGGTCTTGAAATAAGAACCGACTATGAATACCGGCCTTAGATGTCCTATAAACGTTCCTTAATACCAATGTTATTAAAACCGTTTTGGTAAATCCAAATCTCTTCTGAAACAGGTTTGGCGTTACTAAATCGTTTTAAGAAAGCGTGTAAACAATATTCAATCGGTTTTACGTATTAAAATTCGATATTACCAACTTTAGACGTTATGGTTAAGAAATGACAAAGGATATTTCGTCTTAGGTTCCATATCAGATTTTATAAAGCTACTTTTCTTTTGCTGGGAATAAAATACGCCTAATCGTGTAAACAGTCAACAACCGGTTTTAACTAAGGCCGGTATTCATAGTCGGTTCTTATTTCAAGACCGTCTTAAGTAATGTCTTAAGACGCTAATGCAGCCCTCTGATTGGTTCGTGACTTCTTAAGACTGTACTTAAGACGGTCTTGAATATAAGATCTGACTATGAATACCGGCCTAAAACAGTTTTTACTAAAAGTCGACACAACAGTCGAAGGCTGTGTAAGCTTGTGTTTTCTAATGAATTACATGTAACTGCGGCGGCTATTAGTGTGTTCGAAAATAAGTTTGGTTACTACCAGTAAAAACAGTATAGTTGGTAGCAGTGAAAATTACTGGCGCTGCGTTTTTTTTCTTCCAGCAGTAATACTGAGTAATACTAGTAACGGTAACGGTCAGTGAAACGTGGTAGAGAAAACGAAGAGAAATCCAAAAGATAATCCGAAAGATTATTTTGAAAGAAATTGTTTATTTAATTGGTTCATTTAGATTATATTAATATAATAAAAAATAGTCTGCAAAAATTATGGAAGAATATATTTTGCTTGACAATATTATTTTTGAATCTTCTACTAGTGCTTCTTCAAGTGACAGCGATGACGATGAAGAATTATTAAATAATAACAGAAATCAAAGACGTGTGCCAAAAATTAGAAATTATGTAGAGCATGTTGTTGCACTATACACAGATGTTGAATTTAAATCATATTTTAGGTTAGTATATATACACGCTATATATTTCTACACAAAAATATTGCATACATTAATATATATTTTATTATTACGTCAGATTGGAATGTAATACCTTTTATTTTTTGGTATACTTAATTGGACCAAAATTGGATAATATTCCATTCAAAGGAAGGGAACAAATTGATGTTGTAAAACAAATATTAATTACTATTTATGTATTAGCAAACCAGATTCATTTCGTTCTATAAGTGAACGATTTAATGTATCTAAAGCCAGCAGCACACGATGCTTGTTTTCTTACTGGATTGCTAGCTAGATTAGATTCTTGCCATGATATTGGCTGCGATGCTGGCACTGTCAGTGCTCGCAGACTTTATTCTTCGAATTTTGATCTTTAGAATGAAAAAGAAACTCGTTTAATTATAATAATTTTAAGCAAAAATACATTATAAATATATTAATCTGTGAATATCAGTTATTGAAATTTTAGAGCAAATATCGATTAGAGCTAAGATTTTTTTTGTGTAGAATTAGAAATAAGAGAGCAAAGAGTTTTGTAACGTTTCTTTAAAAAATAATCTCTAAAAGACGAAAATTTTATTCTATTTCCTCAGGAAATAAGTAGTACTTACATATAGTATGTCAAGATTTATAGAACTTTT